ATAGCCACAAGATGATTTTAGTGGTGTTTCCACACAATGTTGTCATGGAGATGAACTGGGATGGTACCATGGAAGAATCTGACTGTTCATAGCCATCATGAAACACTGAGAGCCTGAGTACTTTAAGACACTCAGGACCACCTAGTGGGGGCTCAGGACTCTGTGGTACCTTGTCCTTGGGCTGAGGACAGGAGACCTCTCAAACAGATTTGTCTGGCTATCCTCTTATCATGGTGTTCTTCACTTACAGGCATGCCAGGTACTCGTGGGGGACTGCAATGACGTCATGGTTTGCCCTCAGGCTGGATCTCCTGAGATCCTGAACAGGACTGCAGCATCTCACCTACCACGCACTCCCAGGCAGCATCTGCTCCTTTGCAATGACATCGGAGGGGAGCTTCTGGAACTTGCAAAAAAAAAAAAAATGAGGGAACAAAACATTAATCCCTTTATTGTTTATAAGAAGGAAACATTGAAAGCAGCCACAGTAAACGAAGTCAGAATGCCAGAGCCGTTGACGGTTGTGTTGTGAGGCACTGAGAATTAATTTACACACGCTGAAGAGATGGTAGAAAAGGCAGTCTAATACACACAAGCACATGTGTGTGCTCCTATATGAGAACAAGTTGAAATAGTCCTCTGGGTTATGGGATTTAGGAAATATTTTGTCTGCTTTTTAAAATCTACATTTTCTAAATATATGTGCTCCTCTTTGCTTCTAACAAAAATACACAAGTGTTTGCTTTTACGTTTTTTTTTTTCATTTTGTTCGGTCTGGTTCTGTTCACTTTTATTTGTTTGGGTTTTTTTTGGGGGGGGGGTCTAGGGTCTCACTATACTTCTAAGGTTTCTCTCAATCTTGAAATGCCCCTGCCCCAGCTTCCCAAGTGCTAGGACTACAAGTGTGCATCATGCCTTACTCTAGGCTTTATTATTATTATTATTATTATTATTATTATTATTTGTCTAAGATTTGATTATTGCTTTAAACATTTTAGATCTATTTTATGTGTATGAGTGTTTTTGCCTATAAGTGTGTGTGTGTGTGTGTGTGTGTGTGTGTGTGTGCATTATGTATGTACCTAGTGCCTGTGGAGGTCAGAGGGGGTGTCACAGTCCCCGGAACTAGAGTTTCAAATGGTTGCAAGCCACCATGTAGGTTCTGGAACCTGTACTCAGGTCCTATACAAGAACCCACTCACCATAGTAGATACTCCCATGGCCTAAAGGGGACAGAATGACCAGAGGTCAACTGGCTACAGGCCCCGAGTCAGACAGCCATACATGGCAGACCAGCTAGTCAAGGGGTTTTGCTTCTCTTCTGTGCTCTACCCCGTCAGGCTGTGAGAGTCTTAGATCAGGAAGGAAACAGCCTCTTCATTCACAACTGGCAGAAAGGGACCCACCCTCCCAACATGGAGCTTATGCTGTTCTGTGTGATTCCTTCGAGAGGCCTGGAACCCAACACTTCTCATCTTCCTGGAACCCAGACTTACCTGGGGTTGGGGAGCCTGCCATGGAGCCCAGAGGCATACATGTAACTTGACGTTTCAACCAGTATGAAGCCCAGCAAGGACAAAGCCTGAATAAGGCATTCAGGGTTAAAAGACAGGATTAAGGCAACCTCTCTTCTGCCTGCAGCCCCTGCTCTCTCTGGTCTCATTCTCTGCTTCTTGTCAGAACCAGAGATGCCAAGGGTTTGTCACCTCCTCATACTGGGGTGCTCAGTAAGCTGTTGGTCACTTACCCCTGATGCCTGCATCCCGAGAGGGACCAGGGCTTCTCTGGAGGCTTCTCACAGCATTCCAGCTGGCCATCCTTCTTGCTACAACCCAATCTCCACCTACCTCTCTCTGCCACATCACTATGGATCTGGATCAAGTCCATCTCAGCGGAGTTCCTCATTGCTGAGTCTCTCCCCCGAACTCTGCTCCTGCCTGCCCTCACCTCCCACAGCAAGGCTAGCATACTTGGGTTAACCAGAAGACTCCCGACCCCTGGAGATCTTTTCTCATCCTGGACCTAGCATGGACATTACAAGACTGGCTGCTTTTGTGATCAAGTAGCTGTTGGGACAAAGGGTACATTTTATGTTTTTGAATGGTGGACACCTGAGATCTGTGTAGAGGATTGGGTGAAGAGAGGAGAGGCGGCTATTCTGAACCAATCATCTACCACGCAGTAACCCAAAGTGAGCTGTCTACCTTGAGATGCGGATCCCCTTCATCCCATAGTTTTGGGGAGAAGCCCTTCTCCAGATGTGGCACAGTGAATCTTGGATTTACAGTGCAGCCTATGAGAGGCGCCAGAGGTGTGCACTGGGGATTTGAGGTGTAAATCAATAAGAAAGTAATGGGAAGGGACCCAGCCCCCAACTCATCACTCTTCCTTCAGATAAGGCTTTGTCTGAGCCACGATGCTCCCTTGGGACCCTTATTGACCGTCCAGAATAGCCCCTGCTCAAGGACACAGGCTGCTCAGAGGGGGCTGAGGGTTGGTAAGGAAATCCAGATGACCCAGAGAACAAATAGGCAGACCTAACTCCTTGTCCACTGTCCCCATCTCTGCCTGTCGCCGCCCTTGACTCCACTGTGTAGAAGGCATGGCTGTGACAGACCTCCACCTCTTCCAGCTTCTTGCCCTGACAGGAGAGTAGAGCACAGGAGGAAGTGGTTTTGTCTGGGAGTCAATCATCGGGAACCATACAGAAAGAATGGGAGTGGAGATTTGCCTGGAGACCCACTCACTGGGAGAGAGAAGGGCAAGACTCGGAAACAATGTGAACCTGTATTCAGGCTTTCAGTTCCATGCTTCCCCCCACACAGCCCCTCCCCTGAGCTCTGCCCCCTCTCTGCTGGGTCCCTGCTAGAGGGCCTGGGGCCAGCATCCACTCACTCACCTCTTCCCTCCATCCCAGTGCTGCTCAGCTGAAGAAGGACTTTTCGATCCCACTGGTGGGTACTCACAAGAAGCTTGAGCCTCCTGGTTGGCTAAGAGAGATGCACCACTGGTCCGTGATTAGGTATGGCATGAGCCTTAGTCCAGGCCAGGTATGGGTTCCCAGGCTAGGACCCACTAGGCGAATGATAGTACTAACTGGCCATCTCTTCTCCCCACCATTTGGAGTGTCACTTTACAAAGTATGCATTCACACTGGACACATTAATGTTAGGCTATTCTTAATCAGGGTTTTGATTACATTTAAGGCAGTTGAAGCATCTGTTTTTTATTCTAATTATCTGTTACCCTGTGTGGGACCTGCTTTTGTATCAGAGTTCCCATCTTAATAGACCTTTTGTTAACTAGGAGCAAAGAGTCTATTTCCTAGTGTTGTGCTTTCTTCCGAAACCCAGGGGTGTGGGAGTGCTTCAGCCGTGTCTTCCGGTGAAGAACAGCAGAGCCATAGCGAGGACTCCCACAAGCTTGGTGACTGAAATCTGTTACTGCAGTGTCACTTTGGGATTACAGTCTCCCTTTATCGGCTGATTTCAGACAATGCACTGTGGAGAAATCCCCACTCACTCTGAAAGCTGCTGAGGCAAACCATCACAGAAAATGCCAGGGGTACGTTGTGCTGCTTGAAGTGCCAGCCTTGCTATCATGATGTTTAAAGTTAGCAACAATCGTTTAACTTCTGCCTTATAGGATCTGAGTCCTAGCCATGCTCAACTGGCTGACATTAGATGTTCATCCCTCACCAGGGGGAGATGAGCTTCCCCTAGAGGACACGTCAGCCCCTCAGCAGCTCTTTGGGAGGAATATGCACCAGCCAGGTCCCTGCTCTTTCTCACTCAGTGGCTGGAGGGAACAGGGCCATCCACTGTGCCATTTACTTTTCTGGTCAGGCTTCTGTTTTGTGCTATGTTTGGAGGACACAAAAGATCTGATAGGATCTGTGTCCCATGATCCTGATGCAGTACAAGATTCTACCTTCCACAGAACTTTTGTTATTTAGCAAGTTAATGTTTGAAAATATTTTTGTAGCTATCTTACTGTTGAGATGGGATCATTTCTGTTGTAATTTAAAGTATTTTTCTCTTTGCAAAATGATCTTGAAGACAATTCTTCAAGATGAGAAGTATAGGAATGCTGTGTTTTCTGCATGGACTTACCTTTCCAAGATACCATTTCTCCAGGATCTTTCTAGGGTCATCAAAGATCCAAATATGCTTCCCCTCTCCCAGTTTTATTTATTTCTCTGTGTATTTTAACCTTTATATCTAAGATTCTTTCTACTTATGCATTTATCTACCCATCTACCCACTAATCTATGCATTTGTCTACACTTCCACCCACTAATCCATCCATTTATCTACCTACCCACCGACCTATACGTCTGTCCATTTAACTCACCCACTGACCCATCTATTTATCCATTCACCATCCAGTTACCTACCCACTGACCCATCCATCCATCCATCCATCCATCCATCCATCCATCCATCCATCCAGTTACCTACCCACTGACCCATCCATCCATCCAACTACTCATCCACTCATCCATCCATCCATCCATCCATCCATCCATCCATCCACCATCCAGTTACCCACTCACTGACCCATCCATCCATTCATCTACCAAGCATCTATCCACTACCCATTCTTCCACTCACTTCTGGACTTCTCAGAGAATCAGAAGAGGAGCAAGACTGTCTCCACACACTGCCCTTCTAAGGCAAACCTCCTGCCAGTGATGAAGAAACAACAGGAAGTAAATTAACCAACATTACACAAAGATCATCACCTTTCCCACAAGACAGACGATGACAAAGAATGACTGTAACCCCTGCCTCACACATGTCTAGGACAGGGCAGGAAGCACTCTAGCAAGACCATGCCATATACTGCAACTTTTCCCAGATGATTCTCAGGCCATATTTCAGCTTCCTTTGTTGCATTTGATCTTTTCTATTCACCGTTTTCCTTGGTCTAAAAACAAATCAACTTATAAAGAGAATTATACTGCAGTCAGGAAGTTATAACAAAACCACACTGGTCTCTTATAAGTATAGTTTTATTGCAATAATTTAATGTTCTTCACTGTATGTAGGTACCAAATGATGCCGTGTTCTATTGATTGGCCTTTTACATTTCTAAGATTAGCTCACAAGTTTGTATCAAGTTTAAGAGCAGACCGACAAACATATACAAGATTGACTTCCCCCAATTCCCTACCATAATCTGAATGCTGAGACTGATACACAGTTAAACTTTTGTTGTTGTTACATGGAACTATGCGTCAGACTAAGGATGGGAGCCGAGAAACATGTCAGAGCTCCTGCTTTGGCTGTGTCTTAGGACTTGCCTCAGTAAAGGTAGATGTTTTCTGTTGGTACTTTGGCTCAGTTCTCCTCTGTACTCTCCAGTGAAATGGGTTCAGCAGTCTTGACTTGTTCTGAGCAAACAGCAACTTGCAAAACGAAGATGTTGTTTTGGCCAGTTTGGTGTGTGGATTGTGAGAATCCAGGCTCAAGCATGGAAATGCAGCCTTTAACGCAGGTTTCCTCTTCCTGACTTTCATTACTCACCCTGTCTTCCCAGGAACTTTAATGTTTCTGTTGTTATTGTGTTATTATTAATTTTTTGACCCAGATCTAGGTTGATTTTTGTTAACTCTAAGAAATGTTCATCTTGTTGCTTAGAGGTTTCTTTCATTTGCTTGCTTTCAGTGGTGAGTGGTTTTCTCTGGCTTTTCATCTTACTTTGTATTATTTGGTATCATTTTAAAGTCAGGAGAATGGCAGCCAGTACAGCTTCTCTCTCCTATGGCTACTTCCCATCAAAGCAGGCATCTCACAGGAAGCAGGCAGAGAGACAGTGGTTCCAGGTAATTCTCAATCGAACCAAGATTTAATCAGCAACTCAGTAAGCTATAGGCATTTACACGAGCTCAACAAGCTAGATATGGAAAATAATTTCAAAAAATATGAGACATGAGACACCCAAACCACTGTAAGATCTAAGACCCTGCTTGGTGAGAAATCCAGGACAATTTGGGAAGCCGAGTGTCTGACGATCTATCTGCACAAAGGTTCCTGCAGGTGAAAAGCAGCCTGATACCGGAAGCTTCTTCACAGTCCACCTTCTCAGCCTTGTTCCCATAAGGGCAAATCTGAAGAAATGGGACCCTAGTGTGCATTTCCTAATAAAGCCCAAGTAAGACAATGCTAAAAAGACTTCCTACCTCAAATGCCGAGTTAATCTTACAGGTTACAGAAATAAGACACAGGGACCATGTCTCCCCTCTCTTTTTGTGATATCTCCCACTATAGCTCAGAATATGCTTTAAATAATGTTTTTCTTCCCTTCTGGGAGGCTTTGCCTGTCCTTGTATCTCTTCTTCCTTGTCTGTTTGGAGCACAGAATCTCAGGGTTACAGAGGACTTGTAATACAACTAGCCACAGACACATTGCAAAAGCACACGCTTTCTCAGATTCCCAGATAAACAAGTGACATTAGGAGTTAAGACTAAGGGGAAGGAAAACAATAGAAATCTCTTCCTTTAATTTGGTAAAATTTTACAAATATAAGGAGATATATATATTATATCTGGCTGAGGAGCCCAATGCATGACCTGAAAATAGTGTCATTTCTGGATGGTTTAGTAAATAACCATTTTAGCTCTTCTGGTAAAATATTTGCCTATTACTCATGCAAGTTTCAATGACAATTTCTTTAATTAAACAGATGTAACCTGTACCCACACACACTGAATAATTAAAGTTCAATTCCACTGAATGCAAATTTAGCAGAGACAATGAGAACACCCAGGAGAAACTGTTATTACATTTTGTTACAGTAAGTATGGTAAAGGTGGATTTCCCTCCACATCCAAATATAAATACATAAATAAAAGTCCCATAGAAGAGAGATAAATCAGCCAGTAGGAAAATCTACACACTATGATCAGTGAGGAGAAAACCAAGAGAGATTCAAGCAAGACAAAAAATATGTTCAGTGTCACATGTTTTGAAACCCACTATGCAATACCCTTCAGAATCATCTGAGCTCAGGGCATGGCCAGGAAACTCTGATGTGATGGCCATTCCACTGTGAGAAGTATTCACACTCTTTTATCTGTTCTATTGAATCTTAGGGATAAAGTTCTAAATTTTAAGAGTTTCCAGATCTGTAAATCCCATTCCTGATTGAGAGGGGTGGCTTTAAAAGCACCACACAGAAGCTTCTGGAATAACCAACCCATGGCATTAGTTGCAACCAAATGCCTAAAATTTGTGGCTGGTCAAGAATTTGAGAAATCAAACTGAGTTCTTCTGAAACTGCAAACCGTGTATGGACGTGTCAGGCACATTTGCTTGGACCCACCCTTAATTCCCTACTGACTTCAAGAAATAGCTTCACCCTTTTCCCACGGCCAGATTTAATGCTCTATTGCCAACTCAGCTTCCATCCAAATATGCAAAGGGGTGTTCTGTCTTATAAACTTCTCTTCACCTAGAGAAGACCTGGGGGTTGTCACAATGCCAAGCAAGAGATTTTCAAACCAATATCACGCATGAGACAAGTACAGCAGAGGGAGATGAACTTCCTTATCACGGCAGTCACGCGATGTGGAGGCGCACAGTGGCCTGTCGGGCTGACTCCACTCCTCTCACCCCTAGGGTTCAGGATTGTTGGTAGGAGTGCCACACAGATCTGGAAAAAGAGTAACGCTGTCACTAACCAGTAAATCCCAGGCCACTGAGCCATTTTCTCTTCACAGAAAAGTCCATGACAGCAGCAGCATGTTTTAAAGGTTTTTCTTATTAAAAAATGTAATTATATGGAAAATTAGAAAGGAACACATTTCCAACACCTGCCTGGATCCCAAGCCCAGTTTCCAGAACGATTCATGAACCAACCCTACTGTTCTCATCCAATCTTCCAGTCTTTTTTGAGCAAGCATCATTCCAGGCCTCCACAGAATTGGGGGCATTAAGGGAGATGTACACAGGGCATTTCACAATCAGAATGGGTGAGGATGCTGGTGTGGAACTCGGGAGGCACTAGCTACTTTGATTCACATTGCTTTCCTTTTGAAAGCATGGGTAGCAGTTCTATTTAAGAAAGGCTGTTACATAGTCCTTTATGTGTTAGAGTCTATATCTACCCTCTTGGGTTGAGAAGTCAGACAAAACTGAAGATTCTCGCTCACTTAAATGTCAGCTAGCCATTTCTAGATATTTGCTATCTTACACCAGGAGTTCTCTTAATATGTTTCTAAAGGTTGTGATTGGATATTAGCACAGAGTGATCAATATAGAATATATTTATTTATGTTTCCAAATAGACCCTTTCATCTCTAGGATACAGTGTAGCCACTCACAGTCCACAGCCTCATGTTCTCCACCTTTATGGACACAGGTGTATTTTTGAGTCATAATCTGTATTATATCATGGTTTTAGTCATTTTGATTTAAGATATCAAAGTGACTCTCTGGAGATGCTGGGGTTGCCACAGAAGATACCATGGGGAAACCTTGTGAAGTTACTTCCCCCTCCCCCTTTTCCTTTGTCTATGAAAAAGAAATGGGAAGAAATAGCCTGACTCTCCGGCCATATACCATGAATTGAGTGTGCTGAGTGGTCCTTCTGCCTACTGCATGACACCACAGTGGTACCCACAGATTCAGGCAGTGCCCACCCATCAGATGACAGCAGTGTTTATGAGAATCTCCCTGCTATTGCACTTCATAATTCAAACATGGCCACCCTGAGATGTTGATGGGTCCTCTCCAGCATTCCCCATATATATCTGTGTGTGAGGATGAATGGCTGAGGCTTGGTGTGTTGAAGAGCCAGACTAGCCTCATCTGCTACAAAGAAAGGGAGCCAAGCTAGACAAAGTGGGAAAAAGAAAAGCTCATATAGACAGTGTGTTTGTTAGATATGGAAAGTAAGTGTCCAGAAAATCTCTAGTTATGAAAACATCTATTTTCTAAATAATTATTTACCTCCCTGTGACTAATAGACAAGCACTCCCCCAGTTCTCAGGATGGCAACTTAATCCTACATACCCTATGCCCGCATACACATATATATACAGGACACAGCCCTGAGATAGAGTTTACATTGCTGAGATAAGACAGCGGCAAAGCTGTAATGTAACATAAGACACACTGAATCTCTTAAATCCAGGTGGTACTCTGCTCTGGTAGGAAGGCCACTGTACTGTGTCGTAAATGGCACGTCAAGGCACCAAGAGTTTTTCTGTGACATGAGAGTCACATTTCATGCCATGGGTGTCTGAAGCCATTCTGTGTTAAATCACAGAAGTAGTAAACCTTTACTACTCTTCCAGTCATTAGAATTTGTCAATTTGTTTTTCTTGAGATAGAGCCCATATGACCCAAGTTAGTGCTCTCTCTCTTCTCTCTCTCTCTCTCTCTCTCTCTCTCTCTCTCTCTCTCTCTCTCCCTCTCTCTCTCTCTGTGTGTGTGTGTGTGTGTCTGTGTCTGTGTGTGTATATATGTGTGTGTGTCTGTGTGTATGTTAGAGGTCAGACACAGGTAATTGTATATTAACCAATAACTACTTCATAAATAACTACTTCATAAATATACGTTACATACTCTCAAGATGCTATCTTGAGAATAGGAAAAATATTCACCTATTGGTTTTAGAAAGACAAAAAATTATTTAGAGAATAAACATTTCTAGAACTAGAGACTTGTCTGGTATCATTGTGTTTTATTTTAATTTCTTTTCTGGCAATAATAGGTCAGAGAGCTTCATCTCTGTTAAACACTAATTTGCCTCCAGTTTTTGATTTACATATAAGCTGCTATATCCATCACAAGCTCTGTGAAGGAGCACAGCCTGAGAGAATTCTGTCCACCATGCTGGGGCACAGCACTGCCGTTGACTCTGAGTAGCCCAGCTGGTGCGAGGAAGAGTTGAAAAGCAATGAAATGCAGAGTTATTTAGTGTCCCCACTTTCACGTTAGCAGTTCTACACAGCTCTTCGATTTATTCTCCAGGGCTATAGTTTCCATTCTTATTTCCAGTTACACTTATACAGAAACTGGAGAGGGGGTGCTAACATTACTGAAGCTGAGTCATATTGCTGAACTGGGAACAGTCCTCCCCAAGAAGCTTAAGTGAGAGGCAGTGACTCCCAGAGACAGAGGCTAACACCCCACCCCCCAGGTCTTTCTGAAATGCTTGGGTGTTCATGTGGTCATCTCTGGTGTCTATCACAGGTGACTATGGCTGGTTCGGGTGTTTACAAGGAAGACTAGCAGACAGATTTTAAACCCTGCCCATCATATATGTATTAATATCTGACATACACTTATCTCAGCAGAATTGTTTGAAAAACCTTTAAAAAATTTCTTTGGGAAGTATGGCTATGAACTTATGTGAATGTCATGCTTCTGTAATTAAATAACTATATAAAACATCTCAGGCTTTTAAACAATCTTCTCTATCATTTTCCTGAATTTTTCTACAAGCTCCCACTGGAATGGAATTTTAAATAGAAAGCAACCTTATTGTCTACCCAGAGTAAGAAAACTTGAACTATCTTGTTAGTGGGTTTGTGGCCCTCTTATCTAGAAACTTCTAACGGTATCAATAAGTAGCTACAAGCACACAGTAATATCCCTTTAAGGACTTGAGCACCATATTTGATGTTGGCTTGTATATACTTTGCTGAATTTGACCTCAAGCGTCCCCATGGCTTCCAGAGCACTACACTGGGTTAAACCACCGTCTCCATATAAACATACTCATTGTCTTAAAGATGTCTGAGAAACCCCGCTCAACAGACTCAGCCCATTCTTATCTCTGTACAGATATGTGTGAAAATAGAGCAGAGGTGTGCTCAAGGCCACTGAGGAGAGGCTAGCTAGTAGTCACCGGCTTTACTTTGGCATATAGTAGATAACCTTCTGTTCATTATTTTCCTATCTTCTAAGTGGGCATTCATGTGCCAAAAAAATATAAAGCAAGTATTATTTAAACGTGTTAGGACAGAAAAAAAAACATTTTAGATGAAGATACTTTAGGGGAAAAGAATCTGGAAAAACTATCCAAATAACCCCCAACCCAAACAAGCAACAAACTTAATGACTATTCTTTCAAAATAAAAATCCTACCTTCGGTTGTTAGGACAAATACTTAAGCTATTAAAGACACATTCCTTTCTGGATCAGGATATAAAAATCTAACATTTGTGGCTTTGGGGTCACTCAGCACTGAAAATCAGTGGTAAAGTCAAGCCTAAAATATTTGAAAACAAAACAAAACAAAAACAGAGAAGTAAAGTCAGCAGGGAAGGCTCTGGCTTGGGCTTCTGTAGCTCTCCTTTCTGGCACAGTGCTCTGATCCCCAGAAGCCTGTGTTAGAGCCGGGCTGGCAGTGAGATAGCCAGGCTACCCTGTAGATGAGCTATGCAAGGTTGAGTGAGAGGCGGCAAGCGAGGCTGGGAGCACGTGTTACATCAGACACAGTACCTGATTTTTCACTGCACAGCATATCAGCTAGATGGTGTGCCTCCTGGGCGATCAGTGCGAATATCTCATCCTCATACTTTTCAATGATGGCTTCGCACTGCAGAAACACAATAGCAACACGTGTGAGCAGAGACACATGGGCAGGGCCCCTTATTAGCACAGACTTAGTGACATTTTAGTAGCTGAGCACAGGAAAACATGTAACCAAGGAAGCCCATTTTCCTTGGCCCTTTTGGTTTGATACATCCTAAGAGTAACCTTCATCCAGAAATGCTAATTGTATCATTTTCCTGAGACTTAACTAAATGATCACTGTGTTGCAAGACCTAGGAGGAGGAGGATGATGATGATGATGATGATGATGAGGAGGAGGAGGAGGAGGAGGAGGAGGAGGAGGAGGAGGAAGGAAAATGGCTGTTTTTCTTCCTAAAGTCTGGAGTGCAGCAGGCAGGAAGTAACAGAAAGCTTTTCTTTCCGGTGCTTCAGCATTTTAAAGACCACATTTCCCAGAAATGTTTAAACCAGTTCCCTTCCAATTGAACATAGTAATCCACTTTGTGGTTTGAAAATTTGAAACAACTGAGGTGCCTCTACCTTCATAACAGCACCTGCCAGGTTAGCTGCAGAGACCGGTGGGAGCCTTGCTGGTCAAAGGAAGTTTCTCTGTAAACCCTTTAGGAACTTAGCTTAAATCTTGGGTTTGCTTTCCACAGCAAATAAAAAATTAAAAAAAAAAACAAGATGACACTTCAGGCAGGAGGAAGTACAAAGTTATCATAGGATCTGAAAGTGTTAAATTTTATGTGTAGTGTTATTTCTCAAGAACTACCAGGCAGCCTATTTTGGAATTGTGAGGTTACTTACTGATGGCCATCCACTGGAGACATCTCTAAGTTCATTAAGCAAGACTCTAAGATTTTAAAATGGCATTTAAAATATTTAAATTTCACTATAATGTGTTTATTTAAAACCTGTGAAAGACAAACATGCTCGCATCCGCATCCAGGTTCCATGGGGCTTTTAGCCCTGAATCGTTGCCCTCAGTTTTTAATTAAAATGAAATCTCCAAATGTCAGCTACATCCCCATGTTGGGGCTGAAGCAAGCCTGACATTTTGGCCACTGTGTGAACTTAATAAATTTTTTTAACAAGGCCTGCCCATCTCTGTGTGAGTCTACAGCGTTAAGGGAAAATACATTGCAATGTATTTTTGCAAGGCACACCCTAGTAAGACAGAACAGAGGTCAACTTTTTGTAAAATTGGCTTTAACTCTTGACCCCCAGGCCTTGGTGTAGCCTAACCTAAACTACAAAACTTTAATTAACCCTAGGAAAACACTCTCCCTGAGAAGCCTGTGGGGGTGAGAGAAAGGATTTGGGGGCCACTGTTCCAACATTTATCTATACATATTTGTCGCCTCCATACGGATTTCAGCCTAGAAACCACAACCCTTGCTTCCTTAGGCAACAAGAAAGGCCGTGTTCAGTCCACACCAGCAGAATACCCAGAAAAGCAATGTGCAAACGGTGTCCATGTCCCCAGGACAGGGGACATAAGGTGCCTTCCATAAAACTCCCTTCAGCCTCCCCACTGACTGAAGCATGCTATGATCCCTGAGATGTCTCACAAGCCAAGGCACCAAGTATTTAGTGAAGACTAAGCAGTAGGGCAGCACAGGACACCAGAGCTTGTGAGCGTGCCTGACTGTCCACTGCTCATCAACAACTCAAGAGTAACTACAGGCAGGAAAAAGGGACCCCAACAGGCTCTTTGAAGGGGGCTTACCGCGAATTTCAAAGGTCTGAAGGCATCAGAATAAAAGAAGAACTTTTTATATTCTTTGTATATTTTGTCTCCCTTTCTCGGAGCATATCTCCTGAAATACTTCTGCTTGGTCACTGGGTCGTCCTCCAGCTGGTAATCGTTCATTCGCACACACACTTTATCCAAAAGGTCGATGAGGAACGCCTCGGACTGGGCCAGGGGAACCTACAAGAAGAACAGAACCAGCCAGGACACTTGCCCACGCCCACGCGGGTCCAATGAACGAGTGAAAGGATGGCTTCCCAGTGGAAGCAGCCGCATCGTTCTTTATACAGCTTAAAGCGAGCTTAAATTCTAGAGTAAATAACGTGCTTGACAGTGGACAGTAAGAGAAAAAAAATCTAGAAGCGGCACTTGTGGATATCATTGTAAAAAGTTGTTGAGTAGAGGCTCAAGCACAGAAAATGGGAGGAGAGGGGAGCGTCCAGAGCGCGTCAGTTCTGTGGGGAAGCCACACTTCTGCCCATCCCGCGTCGCGCTGCCCCCCTCGCCTTCCGGACTTCTCGAGGTGGCTATGCGGGGTCCACGTTGAGGTGGTCATGGGCAGCGGGGCCCGGGGCACCCCTCATTGGCCCGGCTTGCACTGGGAACAGCTGGCGCGCGTCCCGGGCGCCCCTCTCTCTCCGGGACCTGCCGGGGCGTGCTGGGCTCCGTGCCACCACCTCCGCCCCGGGCGCGGGTCAAAGAGCACCCCGCGCCCTTGGAAACTGAGACAAAACCTCGTGCGGCGTCTAGACGGGTCAAGGTGCAGGAGGCCGGGTCCCCGCGGCTCCTTCCGGAAGGGGCGTGGAGCCGCCAAGGGCGCCCGGCCGGGCCCGCAGCTTTGCGCGCTTTCTCTCTCTCCACCCTCTGCTGATCAAAGAAGGAAGTTTGCATGACAACTGCACTGAAAGGGGCTGCATGACAAATGAACTCGGTTTCTGCAGTGTTGATATATCCAGCCCCCTTTGTCCCCTTTCACACGCAGTGTGAACCCTTCCGGTGCCAACGACTGCGCGACATTCACTGGCGCGCTCAGGGCGCACAAAGGGTCCCGGCGCTTCCCCGCCATCTGGCTGCAAAGTCGATCCGCAATTAATATGAAAGCGCAGGCGGCGGAGCCCGCGAGGAACACCCCCAGATCGCCGCCGCCCCCAGCGTCCACCAGGAACCGACCCCAGGCGCGTACTTTACGCCGAGCGCTGGGACAGAGCGCGAGGACCGCGCCCGGTCACCGCCCCGCACCTGCTGCGGCCCAGGCGAACCTCAGGCCACCGGGAACTGTCAAGGCCCTGGCTTCACGAGAGCAGTTAATTAAATGCGTCTGCGAACTAGAATGAGAACACTCCACCGCAGGTGTCAAGTTCTTTTTTCCAAATTCACTAAATTAAAAATAAATATCTACAGATGAAAAACCAAGATTCTACAATGCCACTTTCAAACACAAGTGGCATTTTTATTTGTGCTTTTCAAGCTTTATAAGTTGCAAAGAAGAAATTCACAGATTTCCTGACACAACTCAAAATCGGAGAGCTGATAGACTCTGGTAAACTCCCAGGGACCACTGGGAAAGGCGCGAGATCGCAAAGGCGAACTCTTACGTGAAAGACTCAACGCAGGCCTTTAACACAACGAGGGCCCGCATTTTCTGGGATGCCGGAGTGTTGAGCAACTTTCCTTAACTGTTACATATAAGTGTCAGTTCATAGTTGTCCATAAAGCAGGATTTTAAGTCACAGCGAAAGTCGGGCCGTTCATAAAAAAACCTAATAGCAACTAGGAAATTCACTCCCTCCTTCCCTCATCCATTAAAAAAGCAAACCGGCTACGTGGGGGTGGGGATGGGGTGGGGGGCAGGGCCTTGAGTGGGAGGGCCTAGGCATAGGAAAGAGGGCCCCTGGAAGACCAGTCCGGTTACCAGGTCAAGAACGTCCTCACCCACTAAGCATTTCTTCCCCTCCCTAGAAACTGTTGTGGTTTTCTTCCCTTTTCAAGTTGACCTAACACTCAGAGCTGTGTGCAGAAGACTGCTGAGCCATCTAAGTTTGAGGCAAAATCATGAAACGTTACTTTTGAAAGCTTTTACTTAAAAAACAAAAATCTGGGTTTGCACTTTTTGAAAACAGTCCTTCACTTTAAAATCATCAGTGGGCTTAAGGGTGAGTTGTTTTAAAGTAAAACCTCACACCTTTGGACAGGGAGGCAGTGTGCCCTGCTTTAAGCACAAATAGTTGTGCGTGTGCATGCGTGTGTGCATGTGTGTGTGTGTGTGTGTGTGAATTTCTACAGGTTTTGTTTTGCCGTTTTTAAGTCTGAAGATTGACAGCTTTTGAATGGCTAGCTAGCCTTTTTGCAGGAGTCTTTAAAATCAGGCGCAGTTGCCGCTGAAGGCTTACAGGATGCTAGATAAGCATCTCCGGAAGGGGAAAGGGAACCCTCCCAACGTGATGCTGCTGAGGTCATTTCACAAAATTTTGATCTTAAAATCCCCGAGCATCGTGTATTGGGAAAATATTTTTAAAAGACGTTTTCCATCACAGCTCTTTACACGTGTATTAACCTTACATTACTATGACTGTTCTCAGCTGAACCACCTTTGGTATATTTAAAGACTGTTCATAGAATAATTGACCCCCCCCCCCAATTGTTCGGATTCTAAGAGTGCAGTAAGTAGTGAGACAAGTGGAATAAGAACCAAGTCTTTCTTTGTACACAGTGAAGGTTTTGAATAGGACTTGTCAATAAAGCGACTCCCTTTGTGATCTTCCAGGAACCTCGCCTCCACGGGCAAGGACTGTCTCAGAGATACTGGCCTCATTAAAATATGAATGGAACAGGCCGCCGTCACTCCGGCTGTGTCGGTAGAGAACGGGTTCATGCTTCTGGAACAGTTTTCTTCCTGTTTTACAGAGCTCCTATAGCGTATTAGAAATGTAAAAGTGATCTGGGATCTTTTCCTCACTATTCTGGGGCATCACAATCGAAGTAAGCCAGCATCTCCCAGTTTTGAAGCCCTCCTACACTCATAAATCACATGTAGCATATGCAGTATCCACCCCTGCCCCCTTCTCCTGACCACTGGCTTGTGAAGTGAGCCAGGGGAACTGGGGTGGGAGGTACCCAGACCACAACTTAGAAACTGAAGGAAAGTACCCGAAAATTCTGGTTTGGATTTGTCCACGAGTCTGCAGCTAGGGAGTTCGGTATAAACCACTATGATTACACTTTAGTACCAGCCAATTACAGCATGCTCCATGTTTTTTCATTACTGTGTCTCTGTTAATCTTGTAGCAAATTTCTTGCTTGATAGCTATCACAACCAGGCAGGAATACAATTATGTCACAGCACAATGGACGTGTAGACGCTCGTTGTGATGGATTCCTCTTTGCCATCACAGCCTGACAGTCGCCAATAAACTTCATTCATCTTCATGGTTGTTTTGTACTTTTCCTTCAGACAGGAAGGTGGCATTTAACCTGCTTAGTGGCTGATAATTTCATATTGTTGCAAAGGTTTTCCTTTCTTGAGGGATGGTTAATGTTGCAATTATTAGTGTGTCTTTACAGCAAATACTGGATACAGTTTAACAGGAAACTTTCCATTTGAAAAGAATGGAGGCATCACTGATACTGGTTAAAAGTCAATATTTAGATTCGAAAAGTTACAGGACCTTACCTCACTCAGACTTGGATTCAGAAATTCTTGTAGGCTGATGAGACATAATTAGCCTATGTGTTAATTGACTATGAGTTTGTTGTATAACACTCCTTCATTTAGTATGCAAATTGCATTGACTATTTGGTTTTATAAGACATTATGATTACTATTCTAAAGGAAATCATTTTGATTAGAAGTAATAAAAGTTGATGGATTTCCAGTATCGTACATAGCAGGGGAAAAAAATTAGTCACTTCTGAACCAAACCAATAAGAGACTTTTTCTGGTACTATATTTAGAAAGCAGCTGGAGCAACACAAAATTCTCATTACTGGTGTATCAAGATTCCACAAATTTCCTGTTTGTACAGGTAGGTCTGTGGGCTACACAGGCTCGGCAGTCACTACAGTATCCTTGCCTTTAAAGAAAAAACATACCTTACAATCTGAACAATGGAAACAAGCCTTTCTGATTTGAAAGACTATCTTTGCAAGTGTTTTCTGTCCTCGTCATTGGAGTATGAGGTTATCGATCAGTAACATGCATTTCTTAGGGAGTTGCAAAATAGTAGCAAAAGGAGAACACTGTGATTTAGGGAATTTCCCCCCAGACTCCAGCTACATTTACTGTTGTTATTATTATTATTATTATTGTTATTATTATTATTATTGAAGTTATCTTCAACTTAACAATGGCAGAAGAGAGTTTTAAAAACACATATTGTGGAACAGCCTTGGCGATCTCTGAATGGCAGCAGCCACCTGACTCGATTTGATTTCTACAGTTACAAAGGTTATGTATCTTTTTCTCACTATCAAGTACTAAGTTGGCACTGTTATTAGGTTTCTCATTCAAAAATACCCTGCTACTTTTTTAAACCTATTAAGTTTTGAACATATGACAAAAAAATGATATGCACAGCTACCCATGTTAAAAACAGGGCCAGTTTCCAAGCTATGTGAGATCCTGAAAGCCAGGTATACTGTCATCATGTGCTTAGCTTTGTCCTGTACCTAGCAGTGAAGATCCCTTCTAGGAGAAAGTCAGAGTGTCCAGTTGCAGACCAGCGGAAGACAAAACTGTGTACTTAAGGCTGAGCAAAGTTGGAGACTAGCCTGAGCTACATAGTAAGTTTCTGAGTAGCCTGAGCTACAGTACTCGGTCTTAAACGGTCAAAATTTAAATAAAAATAAAAAGAATTTGCTTATTCATTCACCAAACAATTACTGGGCCTTATCTATACTGCAGACAAATGCATTTTACAAATACAAACTTTTAAAAATTATATTATTATTTTATTTTATATGTATGGGTATATACATGTGTGCCCACAGAGGGCAAAATTATGAGCTGCCATGTGGGTCCTGGAAAATGAACCCAGCCCCGAGAAAGAGCATCCAGTGCTGTTGACTGCTGAGCCATCACTCCAGCCCCAAATGCATATTTTCCTAAAGACTCTTCGTGATTCTAAGTTAACACTGAAATCAAATGTTTTAATGAGGCTATGTTCCCAGTGGGCGTTGGATGG